CACTCACCCACCCACTCACTCACCCACCCACTCACCCACCCACCCACTCACCCACCCACCCACCCACTCACCCACCCACTCACCCACTCACCCACCCACCCACTCACTCACCCACCTACTCACTCACCCACCCACTCACCCACCCACTCACCCACCCACTCACCCACTCACCCATCCACCCACTCACCCATCCACCCACTCACCCATCCACCCACTCACCCATCCACCCACTCACCCACCCACCCACCCACTCACCCACTCACTCACCCACTCACCCACCCACTCACCCACCCACTCACCCACTCACTCACTCACCCACACACTCACTCACTCACTCATCCACTCACTCACCCACCCACTCACCCACCCACTCACCCACCCACTCACTCACTCACTCACCCACCCACTCACTCACCCACTCACCCACCCACCCACTCACCCACTCACCCACCCACTCACCCACCCACCCACCCACTCACTCACCCACCCACTCACCCACCCACTCACCCATCCACCCACTCACCCACCCACTCACCCACCCACTCACCCACCCACTCACCCACTCACCCACCCACTCAACCACCCACTCAACCACCCACTCACCCACCCACTCACCCACCCACTCACCCACCCACTCACTCACTCACTCACCCACACACCCACTCACCCACTCACCCACTCACCCACTCACCCACTCACCCACCCACTCACCCACCCACTCACCCACTCACCCACCCACTCACCCACCCACTCACCCACTCACCCACTCACTCACCCACCTACTCACTCACCCACCCACTCACCCACCCACTCACCCATCCACCCACTCACCCACCCACTCACCCACTTACCCACCCACTCACCCACCCAACCACCCACTCAACCACCCACTCACCCACCCACTCACCCACCCACTCACCCACCCACCCACCCACTCACCCACCCACTCACTCACTCACCCACACACTCACTCACTCACCCACTCACTCACCCACCCACTCACTCACCCACCCACTCACTCACCCACTCACCCACTCACCCACCCACCCACTCACCCACCCACTCACTCACCCACTCACTCACTCACTCACCCACCCACTCACTCACCCACCCACTCACCCACCCACTCACCCACCCACTCACCCACTCACCCACCCACTCACCCACCCACTCACCTACTCACCCATCCACCCACTCACCCATCCACCCACCCACTCACTCACCCACTCACCCACCCACTCACCCACTCACCCACCCACTCACTCACCCACCCACCCACTCACTCACCCACCTACTCACTCACCCACCCACTCACCCACCCACTCACCCATCCACCCACTCACCCACCCACTCACCCACCCACTCACCCACCCACTCACCCACTCACCCACCCACTCAACCACCCACTCAACCACCCACTCACCCACCCACTCACCCACCCACTCACCCACCCACTCACTCACTCACCCACTCACCCACTCACCCACTCACCCACCCACTCACCCACCCACTCACCCACTCACCCACCCACTCACCCACCCACTCACCCACTCACCCACTCACTCACCCACCTACTCACTCACCCACCCACTCACCCACCCACTCACCCATCCACCCACTCACCCACCCACTCACCCACTCACCCACCCACTCACCCACCCAACCACCCACTCAACCACCCACTCACCCACCCACTCACCCACCCACTCACCCATACACTCACCCACTCACCCACCCACTCACTCACTCACCCACACACTCACTCACTCACTCACCCACTCACCCACCCACTCACTCACCCACTCACTCACTCACCCACCCACTCACTCACCCACCCACTCACTCACCCACTCACCCACTCACCCACCCACCCACTCACCCACCCACTCACTCACCCACTCACTCACTCACTCACCCACCCACTCACTCACTCACCCACCCACTCACCCACCCACTCACCCACCCACTCACCCACTCACCCATCCACCCACTCACCCATCCACCCACTCACCCATCCACCCACTCACCCATCCACCCACTCACCCATCCACCCACTCACCCACCCACCCACTCACCCACCCACCCACACACTCACCCACCCACACACTCACCCACCCACCCACTCACCCACCCACCCACCCACTCACTTACTCACCCACCCACCCACCCACTCACCCACCCACCCACCCACTCACCCACCCACCCACCCACTCACCCACCCACCCACCACAGTGCACGCTAAGCAGGTTTATTGAACTCACACCAAGGGGCTGAGGAGTGTCCTCACACCCACCTACCGACCCACTCACCCACCCACTCACCCACCCACCCACTCACCCACCCACTCACCCACCCACTCACCCACTCAACCACCCACTCACCCACCCACCCACTCACTCACCCACCCACTCACTCACCCACCCACTCACCCACTCACTCACCCACCCACTCACCCACCCACTCACTCACCCACCCACTCACCCACCCACCCACTCACCCACCCACCCACCCACTCACCCACCCACTCACCCACTCACCCACCCACCCACCCACTCACCCACCTACTCACTCACCCACCCACTCACCCACCCACTCACCCACCCACTCACCCACTCACCCATCCACCCACTCACCCATCCACCCACTCACCCATCCACCCACCCACCCACTCACTTACTCACCCACCCACCCACCCACTCACCCACTCACCCACCCACTCACCCACCCACTCACCCACTCACTCACTCACCCACACACTCACTCACTCACTCATCCACTCACTCACCCACTCACCCACCCACTCACCCACCCACTCACCCACCCACTCACCCACCCACTCACTCACTCACCCACCCACTCACTCACCCACCCACTCACCCACTCACCCACCCACCCACTCACCCACCCACTCACCCACCCACCCACTCACTCACCCACCTACTCACTCACCCACCCACTCACCCACCCACTCACCCATCCACCCACTCACCCACCCACTCACCCACCCACTCACCCACCCACTCACCCACTCAACCACCCACTCAACCACCCACTCACCCACCCACCCACCCACTCACTCACTCACACACTCACTCACCCACTCACCCACTCACCCACCCACCCACTCACCCACCCACTCACCCACTCACCCACCCACTCACCCACTCACCCACCCACCCACTCACTCACCCACCTACTCACTCACCCACCCACTCACCCATCCACCCACTCACCCACCCACTCACCCACTCACCCATCCACCCACTCACCCATCCACCCACTCACCCATCCACCCACTCACTCACCCACCCACTCACCCACCCACTCACTCACCCACCCACTCACTCACCCACTCACTCACCCACTCACTCACTCACCCACTCACTCACTCACCCACTCACTCACCCACTCACTCACCCACTCACCACACAGTGCACGCTAAGCAGGTTTATTGAACTCACACCAAGGGGCTGAGTGGTGTCCTCACCCCCAGTTGTGCGTAGCCCAGCCAACAACAATCTCTCTCCACTGGGGGTCTCTGTGAGTCTCTGTCCCAGTGTCTCCACGTGTCTCCCCGCGTCTCCCAGTGTCTCCCCGTGTCTCTCTGTCCCCGTGTCTCCCTCTCTCCCCGTGTCTCCCCGTGTCTCCACGTGTCTCTCTCTCCCCGTGTCTCCTTCTCTCCCCGTGTCACCCCGTGTCTCCCCGTGTCTCCACGTGTCTCTCTGTCCCCGTGTCTCCCAGTGTCTCCACGTGTCTCTCTCCCAGTGTCTCCCCCTGTCTCCCCGTGTCTCCCCGTGTCTCCCCCTGTCTCCCCGTGTCTCCCAGCGTCTCCCAGAGTCTCCCAGAGTCCCCCAGAATCTCCCAGAGTCTCCCCGTGTCTCTCTCTCCCCGTGTCTCTCTCCCCGTGTCTCCCAGAGTCTCCCAGAGTCACCCAGAGTCTCCCCGTGTCTCCCAGAGTGTCCCCGTGTCTCCCCCTGTCTCCCCGTGTCTCCCCCTGTCTCCCCGTGTCTCCCCCTGTCTCCCCGTGTCTCCCCGTGTCTCCCCCTGTCTCCCCGTGTCTCCCCGAGTGTCCCCCTACGAGGTGCAGCGGACGCGCTGCCAGGGAGTGACACCACGTGCCAGGAAGTCCGCCTCCGAGTGGAACACGTGACTCCCCGTGTCTCTCTCCCAGTGTCTCCCAGAGTCTCCCAGAGTGTCCCCGTGTCTCCCCGTGTCTCCCAGAGTCTCCCAGAGTGTCTCCCAGTGTCTCCCCGTGTCTCCCAGAGTCTCCCAGAGTCTCCCCGTGTCTCCCAGAGTCTCTCTCTCCCAGTGTCTCCCAGTGTCTCCCAGAGTCTACCAAAGTCCCCCAGAGTCTCCCAGAGTCTCCCAGATTCTCCCAGAGTCTCCCAGAGTGTCCCCGTGTCTCCCAGAGTGTCCCCGTGTCTCCCCGAATGTCCCCGTGTCTCCCAGAGTCACCCCGTGTCTCTCTCTCCCCGTGTCTCTCTCTCCCCGTGTCTCTCTCCCAGAGTCTCCCAGAGTGTCCCAGAGTCTCCCAGAGTGTCCCAGAGTCTCCCAGAGTGTCCCCGTGTCTCCCCGTGTCTCCCCGTGTCTCCCCGTGTCTCCCCGTGTCTCCCCGTGTCTCCCAGAGTCACCCCGTGTCTCTCTCTCCCCGTGTCTCTCTCTCCCCGTGTCTCTCTCCCAGTGTCTCCCAGAGTGTCCCAGAGTCTCCCAGAGTGTCCCCGTGTCTCCCCGTGTCTCCCCGTGTCTCCCCGTGTCTCTCCCTACGAGGTGCAGCGGACGCGCTGCCAGGGAGTGACACCACGTGCCAGGAAGTCCGCCTCCGAGTGAAACACGTGACTCCCCGTGTCTCTCTCCCAGTGTCTCCCAGAGTCTCCCAGAGTCTCCCAGAGTGTCCCCGTGTCTCCCCGTGTCTCCCCGTGTCTCCCCCTGTCTCCCCGTGTCTCCCCGTGTCTCCCAGAGTCTCTCTCTCCCAGTGTCTCCCCGTGTCTCCCAGAGTCTCCCAGAGTCTCCCAGTGTCTCCCAGAGTCTCCCAGTGTCTCCCAGAGTCTCCCAGAGTGTCCCCGTGTCTCCCCGTGTCTCCCCGTGTCTCCCCGAGTGTCTCCCTACGAGGTGCAGCGGACACGCTGCCAGGGAGTGACACCACGTGCCAGGAAGTCCGCCTCCGAGTGGAACACGTGACTCCCCGTGTCTCTCTCCCAGTGTCTCCCAGAGTCTCCCAGAGTCTCCCAGAGTCTCCCAGTGTCTCCCAGAGTCTCCCAGTGTCTCCCAGAGTCTCCCAGTGTCTCCCAGAGTCTCCCAGTGTCTCCCAGAGTCTCCCAGAGTGTCCCCCTGTCTCCCAGTGTCTCCTCGTGTCTCCCAGAGTCTCTCTCTCCCAGTGTCTCCCCGTGTCTCCCCGTGTCTCTCCCTACGAGGTGCAGCGGACGCGCTGCCAGGGAGTGACACCACGTGCCAGGAAGTCCGCCTCCGAGTGGAACACGTGACTCCCCAGGGCATCCATTGGCGGTTCTGGATCTGAGGTGGCAAAGGTGGCAGCATCCTCCACCTCTTTCCTCACAGCCGCATCCACCTCCTTCGGGGGGAGGGGACAGAGACACAGAGACACGGGGGAGACACGGGGAGACAGTGAGACACAGGGAGACACGGGGAGACACGGGGAGACACGGGGAGAGGGAGACAGGAAGACAGAGAGACAGGGAGACAGTGAGAGAGAGAGAGACACGGGGAAACACGGGGAGACACGGGGGAGACACGGGGAGACAGGGAGACAGGGAGACACGGAGAGACACGGGGAGACACGGGGAGACACGGGGAGACACGGGGACAGACACGGGGGAGACAGTGAGACACGGGGAGACAGGGAGAGACACGGGGGAGACACGGGGAGATAGAGAGACAGAGAGAGACACGGGGAGACACGGGGGAGACAGTGAGACACGGGGAGACACGGGGAGACACGGGGGAGACACGGGGGAGACACGGGGGAGACACGGGGAGAGAGAGAGACAGAGAGAGAGAGACACAGGGAGACAGAGACACAGGGAGAGAGAGATACAGGGAGAGAGAGACACAGAGACACGGGGAGACACGGGGAGACACGGGGAGACACGGGGACAGACACGGGGGAGACAGTGAGACACGGGGAGACGGGGAGAGACACGGGGGAGACACGGGGAGATAGAGAGACAGAGAGAGACACGGGGAGACACGGGGGAGACAGTGAGACACGGGGAGACACGGGGAGACACGGGGGAGACACGGGGGAGACACGGGGAGATAGAGAGACAGAGAGAGACACGGGGAGACACGGGGGAGACAGTGAGACACGGGGGAGACACGGGGGAGACAGTGAGACACGGGGAGACACGGGGGAGACACGGGGAGAGAGAGAGACAGAGACACAGGGAGACAGAGACACAGAGACACGGAGAGACACGGGCACAGAGACACGGGGAGACACGGGGAGACACGGGGGAGACAGGGAGACACGGGGAGATAGAGACACAGAGACACGGGGGAGACACGGGGAGACACGGGGAGACAGGGAGAGAGAGACACAGAGACACAGGGGAGACACGGGGGAAACACGGGGAGACAGTGAGAGAGACAGACAGAGAGAGAGACACGGGGAGACACGGGGACAGACACGGGGAGACAGTGAGACACGGGGAGACACGGGGGAGACACGGGGGAGACACGGGGAGAGAGAGAGACAGAGAGAGAGACACAGGGAGAGAGAGACACACACAGGGAGACACAGGGAGACAGAGACACAGGGAGAGAGAGAGACACAGGGAGAGAGAGAGACAGGGAGAGAGAGAGACACAGACACAGGGAGACACAGAGAGAGAGACGCAGAGAGAGACACAGGGAGACAGACACACAGGGAGAGAGAGACACAGGGAGAGAGAGAGACACAGAGACACAGGGAGACACAGAGAGAGAGACGCAGAGAGAGACACAGGGAGACAGAGACACGGGGAGACACGGGGAGACACGGGGGAGACAGTAAGACACGGGGGAGACACGGGGAGACAGGGAGACAGGGAGACACGGGGAGACACGGGGAGACACGGGGAGATAGAGACACAGAGACACGGGGGAGACACGGGGAGACACGGGGGACAGGGAGACAGGGAGACACGGGGAGACAGGGAAAGAGACACGGGGAGACAGAGATACAGGGAGAGAGAGAGACAAGGAGAGAGAGAGAGAGACACAGGGAGACACGGGGAGACACGGGGAGACAGGGAGACACGGGGGAGACACGGGGAGACACGGGGAGACACGGGGAGACACGGGGAGACACGGGGAGACACGGGGAGACAGGGAGACACAGGGAGACAGAGACACAGGGAGAGAGAGAGACAGGGAGACAGAGACACAGGGAGACAGAGAGACACAGGGAGAGAGAGACACAGGGAGACAGAGACACAGGGAGAGAGAGACACAGGGAGAGAGAGACACAGGGAGACAGAGACACAGGGAGAGAGAGAGAGACACAGGGAGAGAGAGAGACAGGGATACAGAGACACAGGGAGAGAGAGACACAGGGAGAGAGAGACACAGGGAGAGAGAGACAGGGAGACAGAGACACAGGGAGACAGAGAGACACAGGGAGAGAGAGACACAGGGAGACAGAGACACAGGGAGAGAGAGAGAGACACAGGGAGATAGAGACACAGGGAGAGAGCACAGGGAGAGAGAGAGACAGGGAGAGAGAGAGACAGGGAGACAGAGACACAGGGAGAGAGAGAGACAGGGAGACAGAGACACAGGGAGACAGACACACAGGGAGAGAGAGAGAGACACAGGGAGACAGAGAGACACAGGGAGAGAGAGACACAGGGAGAGAGAGACACAGGGAGACAGACACACAGGGAGAGAGAGACACAGGGAGACAGAGACACAGGGAGAGAGAGACACAGGGAGAGAGAGAGACAGGGAGACAGAGACACAGGGAGAGAGAGACACAGGGAGAGAGAGACACAGGGAGAGAGAGACAGGGAGACAGAGACACAGGGAGACAGAGAGACACAGGGAGAGAGAGACACAGGGAGACAGAGACACAGGGAGAGAGAGAGACAGGGAGACAGAGACACAGGGAGACAGAGACACAGGGAGAGAGAGAGACAGGGAGACAGAGACACAGGGAGAGAGAGAGACAGGGAGAGAGAGAGACAGGGAGACAGAGACACAGGGAGAGAGAGAGACAGGGAGAGAGAGAGACAGGGAGACAGAGACACAGGGAGAGAGACAGACAGAGGGAGACAGAGACACAGAGACACAGGGAGACAGAGACACGGAGAGACAGGGAGAAAGGGAGACACGGGGAGACACGGGGAGAGAGAGACACAGGGAGAGAGAGAGACAGGGAGACATAGACACAGGGAGACATAGACACAGGGAGAGAGAGAGACAGGGAGAGAGAGAGAGACACACAGGGAGACAGAGACACAGGGAGACAGAGACACAGGGAGACAGGGACACGGGGAGACAGAGAGACAGGGAGACAGAGAGACAGAGAGACACAGAGACACAGGGAGACACAGAGACACAGAGAGAAAGAGAGAGAGAGCCACAGACAGACACAGGGAGACAGAGACACAAAGACACGGAGACACGGGGAGACAGGGAGACAGGGAGAGACACAGAGAGACACAGAGAGACACAGAGACAGAGAGACACAGGGAGAGACACAGGGAGAGAGACAGAGAGAGACAAAGGGAGAGAGACAGAGAGTCAGAGAGACACAGGGAGAGAGAGACACAGGGAGAGAGACACAGGGAGAGAGACAGAGAGAGACAGAGAAAGACACACAGAGAGACACAGAGACAGAGACACAGAGAGACAGATAGACACAGAGACACAGGGAGAGAGACAGAGACACAGGGAGAGAGACAGACAGAGAGAGACAGAGAGAGAGACAGAGACACAGAGAGACAGAGAGAGAGACAGAGACACAGAGAGAGACAGAGACAGAGACAGAAAGAGAGAGACACAGAGACAGAGACACAGAGACAGACAGAGAGAGACAGAGAGAGACACGGACAGCCAGAGACACAGAGACAGAGAGAGAGAGACACGGACAGACAGAGACACAGAGACAGACACAGAGAGACAGAGAGACAGAGAGAGACACAGAGACAGAGAGAGAGAGACACGGACAGAGAGACAGACAGAGAGACAGAGAGAGAGAGACGGACAGATAGAGAGACAGAGAGAGACACAGAGAGAGACACAGACAGACAGAGACACAGAGAGACAGAGACAGAGACACAGAGACACAGAGACAGAGACACAGAGACACAGAGAGACAGAGACACAGAGACAGAGACAGAGACACAGAGACACAGAGAGACAGAGACACAGAGACAGAGACACAGAGACAGAGACACAGAGACACAGAGACAGAGACACAGAGACACAGAGAGACAGAGACACAGAGACACAGAGAGACAGAGACACAGAGACACAGAGAGATAGAGACACAGAGACACAGAGAGACAGACAGAGATAGAGAGACAGAGGCACAGAGACACAGAGACACAGAGAGACAGAGACACAGAGACACAGAGAGACAGAGACACAGAGACACAGAGAGATAGAGACACAGAGACACAGAGAGACAGAGAGAGAGACAGAGACACAGAGAGACAGAGACAGAGAGAGACAGAGACAGAGACAGAAAGAGAGAGACACAGAGACAGAGACACAGAGACAGACAGAGAGAGACAGAGAGAGACACGGACAGCCAGAGACACAGAGACAGAGAGAGAGACACGGACAGACAGAGAGACAGACAGAGAGACAGAGAGAGAGAGAGAGACGGACAGATAGAGAGACAGAGAGAGACACAGAGAGAGACACAGACAGACAGAGACACAGAGAGACAGAGACAGAGACACAGAGACACAGAGACAGAGACACAGAGACACAGAGAGACAGAGACACAGAGACAGAGAGACAGACAGACACAGAGACACAGAGAGATAGAGACACAGAGACACAGAGAGACAGAGACACAGAGACACAGAGAGATAGAGACACAGAGACACAGAGAGACAGACAGAGACACACAGAGACAGAGAGACAGACAGACAGACACAGAGAGACACAGAGACACAGAGAGACAGACAGACGATCAAGACAAGGTGCCCCACCAGGTAGCCTGCAATGGTCTTTGCTGCCGGCTCTCCTCACCGCGGCGCCACCACTCCTAGCCGCATCTCTCCTCACAAACCGGTGACTCCCCTCGTGATCATGTGATCTGGTGATCAGGTGACCTGGTGATCTGGTGATCAGGTGACCTGGTGATCTGGTGATCATGTGACCTGGTGATCAGGTGGCTTGGTGATCTGGTGATCAGGTGACCTGGTGATCATGTGACCTGGTGATCAGGTGACTTGGTGATCTAGTGATCAGGTGACCTGGTGATCTGGTGATCATGTGACCTGGTGATCATGTGACCTGGTGATCTGGTGATCAGGTGACCTGGTGATCTGGTGATCATGTGACCTGGTGATCAGGTGATCATGTGACCTGGTGATCAGGTGACTTGGTGATCTGGTGACTTGGTGATCTGGTGATCTGGTGACCTGGTGATCATGTGACCTGGTGATCAGGTGACTTGGTGATCTGGTGATCTGGTGATCAGGTGACCTGGTGATCATGTGACCTGGTGATCAGGTGACTTGGTGATCTGGTGATCAGGTGACCTGGTGATCTGGTGATCATGTGACCTGGTGATCAGGTGACTTGGTGATCTGGTGATCAGGTGACCTGGTGATCTGGTGATCATGTGACCTGGTGATCAGGTGATCATGTGACCTGGTGATCAGGTGACTTGGTGATCTGGTGACTTGGTGATCTGGTGATCTGGTGACCTGGTGATCATGTGACCTGGTGATCAGGTGACTTGGTGATCTGGTGATCTGGTGATCAGGTGACCTGGTGATCATGTGACCTGGTGATCAGGTGACTTGGTGATCTGGTGATCAGGTGACCTGGTGATCTGGTGATCATGTGACCTGGTGATCAGGTGACTTGGTGATCTGGTGATCAGGTGACCTGGTGATCTGGTGATCATGTGACCTGGTGATCAGGTGACTTGGTGATCTGGTGATCATGTGACCTGGTGATCAGGTGACTTGGTGATCTGGTGATCATGTGACTTGGTGATCTGATGATCAGGTGACCTGGTGATTTGGTGATCAGGTGACCCGGTAATCTGATGATCATGTGACCTGGTGATCTGATGATCAGGTGACCTTTTGATCTGATGATCATGTGACCTGGTGATTTGGTGATCAGGTGACCTGGTGATCTGATGATCATGTGACCTGGTGATTTGGTAATCAGCTGACTTGGTGATCTGATGATCAGGTGACTTGGTTATCTGATGATCAGGTGACTTGGTGATCTGATGATCAGGTGACTTGGTGATCTGATGATCAGCTGACTTGGTGATCTGATGATCAGCTGACTTGGTGATCTGATGATCAGCTGGCTTGGTGATCTGATGATCAGTTGACTTGGTGATCTGATGATCAGATGATTTGGTGATCTGATGATCAGCTGACTTGGTGATCTGGTGATTAGGTGACCTGGTGATCTGATGATCAGGTGACTTGGTGATCTGATGATCAGCTGACTTGGTGATCTGATGATCAGCTGACTTGGTGATCTGATGATCAGCTGGCTTGGTGATCTGATGATCAGTTGACTTGGTGATCTGATGATTAGATGATTTGGTGATCTGATGATCAGCTGACTTGGTGATCTGGTGATTAGGTGACCTGGTGATCTGATGATCATGTGACCTGGTGATCCGATGATCATGTGACCTGGTGATCTGGTGATCAGCTGACTTGGTGATCTGATGATCAGGTGACCTGGTGATCTGATGATCATGTGACCTGGTGATTTGGTGATCAGGTGATTTGGTGATCAGGTGATTTGGTGATCAGGTGATTTGGTGATCTGATGATCAGCTGACATGGTGATCTGATGATCATGTGACCTGGTGATTTGGTGATCAGGTGACCTGGTGATCTGATGATCATGTGACCTGGTGATTTGACGATCAGCTGACTTGGTGATCTGATGATGAGGTGACTTGGTGATCTGATGATCAGCTGACTTGGTGATCTGATGATCAGCTGACTTGGTGATCTGATGATGAGCTGACTTGGTGATCTGATGATCAGCTGACTTGGTGATCTGATGATCAGCTGACTTGGTGATCTGATGATCAGCTGACTTGGTGATCTGATGATCAGCTGACTTGGTGATCTGATGATCAGCTGACTTGGTGATCTGATGATCAGCTGACTTGGTGATCTGGTGATTAGGTGACCTGGTGATCTGATGATCATGTGACCTGGTGATCCGATGATCATGTGACCTGGTGATCTGGTAATCAGGTGATTTGGTGATATGGTGATCAGGTGATTTGGTGATCAGGTGATTTGGTGATCTGATGATCAGCTGACATGGTGATCTGATGATCATGTGACCTGGTGATTTGGTGATCAGGTGACCTGGTGATCTGATGATCATGTGACCTGGTGATTTGGTGATCAGGTGACCTGGTGATCTGATGATCATGTGACCTGGTGATCTGATGATCAGGTGACTTGGTGATCTGATGATCAGCTGATTTGGTGATCTGATGCTCATGTGACCTGGTGATCAGGTGACCTGGTGATCTGATGATCAGCTGACTTGGTCATCTGATGATGAGCTGACTTGGTGATCTGATGATCAGCTGACTTGGTGATCTGATGATCAGCTGACTTGGTGATCTGATGATCTGGTGATCAGGTGATCTGGTGACCTGGTGATCAGGTGACCCTGTGACCCGGTGACCCCCATCGACTGACCTTCAGCTCCTCGATTGAGCTGAGGTTGTGGCTGAGGATACGATCCTTGAGCAGAGAGATGGGGTCACTCTTGGTACGGACTTCCTGAATCTCCTCTCTCGTGCGGTAGCTGTGGGGAGAGGCGGGGGGGGGGGGGTGAGTGAGTGGGTGAGTGGGTGGGTGGGTGGGTGAGTGGGTGAGTGGGTGGGTGGGTGGGTGGGTGAGTGAGTGGGTGAGTGGGTGAGTGGGTGAGTGTGTGAGTGAGTGGGTGAGTGGGTGAGTGAGTGGGTGAGTGAGTGAGTGAGTGGGTGAGTGGGTGTGTGAGTGAGTGAGTGGATGGGTGAGTGGGTGAGTGAGTGGGTGGGTGAGTGAGTGGGTGAGTGAGTGAGTGAGTGGGTGAGTGGGTGAGTGAGTGAGTGGGTGAGTGAGTGAGTGGGTGGGTGAGTGAGTGGGTGGGTGAGTGAGTGGATGGGTGAGTGAGTGGGTGAGTGAGTGAGTGGATGGGTGAGTGGGTGGGTGAGTGAGTGGATGGGTGAGTGGGTGAGTGAGTGGGTGGGTGAGTGAGTGGGTGAGTGAGTGAGTGAGTGGGTGAGTGGGTGAGTGAGTGAGTGGGTGAGTGAGTGAGTGGGTGGGTGAGTGAGTGGGTGGGTGAGTGAGTGGGTGAGTGAGTGGGTGAGTGAGTGGGTGAGTGAGTGAGTGAGTGAGTGGGTGAGTGAGTGGGTGAGTGGGTGAGTGAGTGGGTGGGTGAGTGGGTGGGTGAGTGGGTGAGTGAGTGGGTGAGTGAGTGAGTGAGTGGGTGAGTGAGTGAGTGGGTGAGTGAGTGAGTGGGTGGGTGGGTGAGTGAGTGGGTGAGTGAGTGAGTGAGTGGGTGGGTGAGTGAGTGAGTGAGTGGGTGAGTGAGTGAGTGGGTGAGTGAGTGAGTGCGTGAGTGGGTGAGTGAGTGACTGAGTGAGTGAGTGGGTGAGTGGGTGAGTGAGTGAGTGGGTGAGTGGGTGAGTGGGTGAGTGGGTGGGTGAGTGAGTGAGTGAGTGGGTGAGTGAGTGAGTGAGTGGGTGGGTGAGTGAGTGGGTGAGTGAGTGGGTGAGTGAGTGGGTGAGTGAGTGGGTGAGTGAGTGAGTGGCTGAGTGGGTGAGTGAGTGGGTGAGTGAGTGAGTGAGTGGGTGAGTGAGTGGGTGAGTGAGTGGGTGGGTGAGTGAGTGGATGAGTGAGTGGATGGGTGAGTGGGTGGGTGAGTGAGTGAGTGGGTGAGTGAGTGAGTGGGTGAGTGGGTGAGTGAGTGAGTGGGTGAGTGGGTGAGTGAGTGAGTGGGTGAGTGAGTGAGTGAGTGGGTGGGTGAGTGAGTGGGTGAGTGGGTGGGTGAGTGGGTGAGTGAGTGAGTGAGTGAGTGGGTGAATGAGTGAGGGAGTGGGTGAGTGAGTGAGTGAGTGGGTGAGTGAGTGGGTGAGTGAGTGAGTGAGTGGGTGAGTGAGTGGGTGAGTGAGTGAGTGGGTGAGTGAGTGAGTGGGTGAGTGAGTGGGTGGGTGAGTGGGTGAGTGAGTGGGTGAATGAGTGGGTGAGTGAGTGAGTGAGTGGGTGAGTGGGTGAGTGAGTGGGTGAGTGAGTGAGTGGGTGAGTGAGTGAGTGGGTGAGTGAGTGGGTGAGTGAGTGGGTGGGTGAGTGGGTGAGTGAGTGGGTGAGTGAGTGAGTGGGTGAGTGGGTGAGTGAGTGGGTGGGTGAGTGAGTGGGTGAGTGAGTGGGTGAGTGAGTGAGTGAGTGGGTGAGTGGGTGAGTGAGTGGGTGAGTGGGTGAGTGGGTGAGTGAGTGAGTGGGTGAGTGAGTGGGTGAGTGAGTGGGTGAGTGAGTGAGTGGGTGAGTGAGTGGGTGAGTGAGTGAGTGAGTGGGTGAGTGGGTGGGTGAGTGGGTGAGTGGGTGAGTGAGTGGGTGAGTGGGTGAGTGAGTGGGTGAGTGGGTGAGTGAGTGATTGAGTGGGTGAGTGGGTGACTGAGTGAGTGAGTGAGTGGGTGAGTGAGTGGGTGAGTGAGTGAGTGGGTGAGTGGGTGAGTGGGTGAGTGGGTGGGTGAGTGAGTGGGTGAGTGAGTGGGTGGGTGAGTGGGTGAGTGAGTGGGTGAGTGAGTGGGTGAGTGAGTGGGTGAGTGAGTGGGTGAGTGAGTGAGTGAGTGGGTGAGTGGGTGGGTGAGTGGGTGAGTGGGTGAGTGAGTGGGTGAGTGGGTGAGTGGGTGAGTGAGTGGGTGAGTGGGTGAGTGAGTGATTGAGTGGGTGACTGAGTGAGTGAGTGAGTGGGTGGGTGAGTGGGTGAGTGAGTGGGTGAATGAGTGGGTGAGTGAGTGAGTGAGTGGGTGAGTGGGTGAGTGAGTGGGTGGGTGAGTGGGTGAGTGAGTGGGTGAGTGAGTGGGTGGGTGAGTGGGTGAGTGAGTGGGTGAGTGAGTGGGTGAGTGAGTGGGTGAGTGAGTGGGTGAGTGAGTGGGTGAGTGGGTGGGTGAGTGGGTGAGTGAGTGGGTGGGTGAGTGGGTGAGTGAGTGGGTGAGTGAGTGCGTGGGTGAGTGAGTGGGTGAGTGAGTGAGTGGGTGGGTGAGTGAGTGGGTGAGTGGGTGAGTGGGTGAGTGAGTGAGTGAGTGGGTGAGTGGGTGAGTGAGTGGGTGAGTGAGTGGGTGAGTGAGTGGGTGAGTGAGTGAGTGAGTGGGTGAGTGGGTGGGTGAGTGGGTGAGTGGGTGAGTGAGTGAGTGAGTGGGTGAGTGGGTGAGTGGGTGAGTGAGTGGGTGAGTGGGTGAGTGGGTGAGTGAGTGATTGAGTGGGTGAGTGGGTGACTGAGTGAGTGAGTGGGTGAGTGAGTGGGTGAGTGAGTGAGTGGGTGAGTGGGTGGGTGAGTGAGTGGGTGGGTGAGTGGGTGAGTCAGTGGGTGAGTGAGTGGGTGAGTGAGTGGGTGAGTGAGTGGGTGAGTGAGTGGGTGAGTGAGTGGGTGAGTGAGTGGGTGAGTGGATGAGTGGGTGAGTGAGTGATTGAGTGGGTGGGTGAGTGGGTGAGTGAGTGGGTGAGTGAGTGAGTGGGTGAGTGGGTGAGTGAGTGGGGTGAGTGAGTGGGTGAGTGGGTGAGTGAGTGGGTGAGTGAGTGAGTGGGTGAGTGAGTGAGTGAGTGGGTGGGTGAGTGAGTGAGTGGGTGAGTGGGTGAGTGAGTGGGTGAGTGAGTGGGTGAGTGAGTGAGTGCGTGCGTGGGTGAGTGAGTGGGTGAGTGAGTGAGTGGGTGAGTGAGTGGGTGAGTGGGTGAGTGAGTGGGTGAGTGGGTGAGTGGGTGGGTGGGTGGGTGAGTGGGTGAGTGAGTGGGTGAGTGAGTGAGTGAGTGGGTGAGTGGGTGAGTGAGTGGGTGAGTGAGTGAGTGGGTGAGTGAGTGAGTGGGTGAGTGAGTGAGTGGGTGAGTGAGTGAGTGGGTGAGTGAGTGGGTGGGTGAGTGGGTGAGTGAGTGGGTGAGTGAGTGGGTGAGTGGGTGAGTGAGTGGGTGAGTGAGTGGGTGAGTGAGTGAGTGAGTGGGTGAGTGAGTGGGTGAGTGAGTGAGTGGGGTGAGTGAGTGGGTGAGTGGGTGAGTGAGTGGGTGAGTGGGTGAGTGGGTGGGTGGGTGGGTGAGTGGGTGAGTGAGTGGGTGAGTGAGTGAGTGAGTGGGTGGGTGAGTGGGTGAGTGAGTGAGTGGGTGAGTGAGTGGGTGAGTGAGTGGGTGAGTGAGTGGGTGAGTGAGTGAGTGAGTGGGTGAGTGGGTGGGTGAGTGGGTGAGTGGGTGAGTGGGTGAGTGAGTGGGTGAGTGGGTGAGTGGGTGAGTGAGTGGGTGAGTGGGTGAGTGAGTGATTGAGTGGGTGAGTGGGTGGGTGAGTGAGTGGGTGAGTGAGTGAGTGAGTGGGTGAGTGGGTGAGTGAGTGGGTGAGTGGGTGAGTGGGTGAGTGAGTGAGTGGGTGAGTGAGTGGTGAGTGGGTGAGTGAGTGAGTGGGTGAGTGAGTGGGTGAGTGAGTGAGTGAGTGGGTGGGTGAGTGGGTGAGTGGGTGAGTGAGTGAGTGAGTGGGTGAGTGGGTGAGTGAGTGGGTGAGTGGGTGAGTGGGTGAGTGAGTGATTGAGTGGGTGAGTGGGTGACTGAGTGAGTGACTGAGTGGGTGAGTGAGTGGGTGAGTGAGTGAGTGGGTGAGTGGGTGAGTGGGTGAGTGGGTGGGTGAGTGAGTGGGTGAGTGAGTGGGTGGGTGAGTGGGTGAGTGAGTGGGTGAGTGAGTGGGTGAGTGAGTGGGTGAGTGAGTGGGTGAGTGAGTGGGTGAGTGAGTGGGTGAGTGAGTGGGTGAGTGAGTGGGTGAGTGGGTGAGTGAGTGATTGAGTGGGTGGGTGAGTGGGTGAGTGAGTGGGTGAGTGAGTGAGTGGGTGAGTGAGTGAGTGGGTGAGTGAGTGGGTGGGTGAGTGGGTGAGTGAGTGGGTGAATGAGTGGGTGAGTGAGTGAGTGAGTGGGTGAGTGGGTGAGTGAGTGGGTGAGTGAGTGGGTGAGTGAGTGGGTGAGTGAGTGAGTGGGTGGGTGAGTGGGTGAGTGAGTGGGTGAGTGAGTGGGTGAGTGGGTGAGTGAGTGGGTGAGTGAGTGGGTGGGTGAGTGGGTGAGTGAGTGGGTGAGTGAGTGGGTGAGTGAGTGCGTGGGTGAGTGAGTGAGTGGGTGAGTGAGTGAGTGAGTGGGTGAGTGGGTGAGTGAGTGGGTGAGTGGGTGAGTGGGTGAGTGAGTGAGTGAGTGGGTGAGTGAGTGGGTGAGTGAGTGGGTGAGTGAGTGGGTGAGTGAGTGGGTGAGTGAGTGGGTGAGTGAGTGAGTGAGTGGGTGAGTGGGTGGGTGAGTGGGTGAGTGGGTGAGTGAGTGAGTGAGTGGGTGAGTGGGTGAGTGGGTGAGTGAGTGGGTGAGTGGGTGAGTGAGTGATTGAGTGGGTGAGTGGGTGACTGAGTGAGTGAGTGGGTGAGTGAGTGGGTGAGTGAGTGGGTGAGTGAGTGGGTGAGTGAGTGGGTGAGTGAGTGGGTGAGTGAGTGGGTGAGTGGGTGAGTGAGTGATTGAGTGGGTGGGTGAGTGGGTGAGTGAGTGGGTGAGTGAGTGGGTGAGTGGGTGAGTGAGTGGGTGAGTGAGTGGGTGAGTGGGTGAGTGAGTGGGTGAGTGAGTGAGTGGGTGAGTGAGTGAGTGAGTGGGTGGGTGAGTGAGTGAGTGAGTGGGTGAGTGAGTGGGTGAGTGAGTGAGTGAGTGGGTGAGTGAGTGGGTGAGTGAGTGAGTGAGTGGGTGAGTGAGTGGGTGAGTGAGTGAGTGGGTGAGTGAGTGGGTGAGTGGGTGAGTGAGTGGGTGAGTGGGTGAGTGGGTGGGTGGGTGGGTGAGTGGGTGAGTGAGTGGGTGAGTAGGTGAGTGAGTGGGTGAGTGGGTGAGTGAGTAAGTGAGTGAGTGTATGAGTGAGTGAGTGGGTGAGTGAGTGAGTGGGTGAGTGAGTGAGTGAGTGGGTGAGTGAGTGGGTGAGTGAGTGACTGAGTGAGTGAGTGAGTGGGTGAGTGGGTGAGTGAGTGAGTGAGTGGGTGGGTGAGTGGGTGAGTGAGTGGGTGAGTGGGTGAGTGAGTGAGTAGGTGAGTGAGAGAGTGAGTGAGTGGGTGAGTGAGTGAGTGAGTGGGTGAGTGAGTGAGTGGTGAGTGAGTGAGTGGGTGAGTGAGTGAGTGAGTGGGTGGGTGAGTGGGTGAGTGAGTGAGTGGGTGAGTGAGTGGGTGAGTGAGTGGGTGAGTGAGTGAGTGGGTGAGTGACTGAGTGAGTGAGTGAGTGGGTGAGTGGGTGAGTGGGTGGGTGAGTGGGTGAGTGAGTGGGTGAGTGAGTGGGTGAGTGAGTGGGTGAGTGAGTGAGTGGGTGAGTGACTGAGTGAGTGAGTGGGTGAGTGGGTGGGTGAGTGGGTGAGTGAGTGGGTGAGTGAGTGGGTGAGTGAGTGAGTGGGTGAGTGACTGAGTGACTGAGTGAGTGAGTGAGTGGGTGAGTGAGTGGGTGAGTGAGTGGGTGAGTGAGTGGGTGAGTGAGTGGGTGAGTGAGTGAGTGGGTGAGTGACTGAGTGAGTGAGTGAGTGGGTGAGTGGGTGAGTGGGTGGGTGAGTGGGTGAGTGAGTGGGTGAGTGAGTGGGTGAGTGAGTGGGTGAGTGAGTGAGTGGGTGAGTGACTGAGTGAGTGAGTGAGTGGGTGAGTGAGTGGGTGAGTGACTCACCTCACACCAGGGTCACTCATGCTGTGGCCGTGGTATCTGTAGGTCTGTAGCTCCATCACTATGGGTCCCTGATATAGGAAGTGACATCACAACCACCACTGTCACCACCACGCAGGAAGTGACATCACCGCCACCACTACCACACAGGAAGTGACATCACCACCATGCAGGAAGTGACATCACCACCACCATCACTACCATGCAGGAAGTGACATCACCACCATGCAGGACGTGACATCATCGCTGTACAGGAAGTGACTTCATGTAAGCCATTGGATGTTGTGATGGCAGTGATGTTGGTGGTGGTGATGGTGGTGGTGATGGTGGTGGTGTTGATGGTGATGGTGGTGGTGATGGTGGTGATGGTGATGATGATGGTGGTGGTGATGGTGTTGATGTTGATGGTGACGGTGATGGTGGTGATGATGGTGACGGTGGTGGTGATGGTGGTGGTGATGATGGTGGTGGTGGTGATGATGGTGGTGGTGATGGTGGTGGTGATGATGGTGATGACGGTGACGATGTTGACGATGTTGATGACGTTGATGGTGATGATGATGACGACATCACGGCACCTTGTTGGAGCGTACGTGATCTTATGATGATGATGATGATTTTGGTGATGGTGATGATGGTGATGATGATGTTGTTGACGATGGTGATGTTGATGATGTTGTTGATGACGTCACGGCACCTTGTTGGAGCGAGCGTGATCTGATGATGTTGATGATGATGTTGATGATTACGATGTTGATGTTGATGATGATGTTGATGGTGATGATGATGGTGATGTTGATGATGTTGACGATGACGATGTTGATGATGATGTTGACGATGTTGACGATGATGATGTTGATGATGATGTTGATGATGATGTTGATGATGATGTTGATGATGATGTTGATGATGATGATGTTGATGATGATGATGTTGATGATGATGATGATGACGATGACGATGTTGATGACATCATGGCACCTTGTTGGAGCGAGCGTGATCTGCGGCAAAGGCAGTGGCCTCCCGCACGCACAGCACGTCCATACCATCCACCTGCAGGTACACACAACACACATACCACAGGTACTCACACACATACCACAGGTACTCACACAACACACACAACACACACCACACACACACACAACACACAGCACGTCCATACCATCCACCTGCAGGTACACACACAGGTACACAGGTACTCACACATACCACAGGTACACACACACACACACAACACACAGCACGTCCATACCATCCACCTGCAGGTACACACACACAGGTACACAACACACAGGTACACACACACCACACAGGTACACACACACACATACACACAACACACAGCACGTCCATACCATCCACCTGCAGGTACACAACACATACCACAGGTACTCACACGTACCACAGGTACACACAACACACAGCACGTCCATACCATCTACCTGCAGGTACACAACACATACCACAGGTACTCACACGTACCACAGGTACACACAACACACAGCACGTCCATACCATCCACCTGCAGGTACACAACACATACCACAGGTACTCACACGTACCACAGGTACACACAACACACAGCACGTCCATACCATCCACCTGCAGGTACACAACACATACCACAGGTACTCACACGTACCACAGGTACACACAACACACAGCACGTCCATACCATCCACCTGCAGGTACACACAACACACAGGTACACAACACACAGGTACACACACACCACACAGGTACACACACATACCACACATACACATACACACAACACACAGCACGTCCATACCATCCACCTGCAGGTACACACACACAACACAGGTACACACACGTACCACAGGTACACACACACACACATACACACACAACACACACACATAACACAGGTACACACACAACACACAGAACACACACACAACACACACCACACACACACACAACACACAGCACGTCCATACCATCCACCTGCAGGTACACACAACACACATACCACAGGTACTCACACACATACCACAGGTACTCACACAACACACACAACACACACCACACACACACAACACACAGCACGTCCATACCATCCACCTGCAGGTACACACACAGGTACACAGGTACTCACACATACCACAGGTACACACACACACACACAACACACAGCACGTCCATACCATCCACCTGCAGGTACACAACACACACACACACACAGGTACTCACACACATACCACACATACACATACACACACAACACACAGCACGTCCATACCATCCACCTGCAGGTACACAACACACACACACACAGGTACTCACACACATACCACACATACACATACACACACAACACACAGCACGTCCATACCATCCACCTGCAGGTACACACACACAGGTACACAGGTACACACACACATACACACACACAACACACAGCACGTCCATACCATCCACCTGCAGGTACACAGGTACACAACACATATACACACACAACACACAGCACGTCCATACCATCCACCTGCAGGTACACAACACACAACACAGGTACTCACACACATACCACAGGTACACAACACACACAACACACCACAGGTACTCACACACATACCACAGGTACACACACACACATACACACACACACATACACACACAACACACACACACATAACACAGGTACTCACACACATATACACACATACACATACACACACAACACACAGCACGTCCATACCATCCACCTGCAGGTACACACACACACAGGTACTCACACGTACCACAGGTACACATAACACACAGCACGTCCATACCATCCACCTGCAGGTACACACAACACAGGTACACACAGGTACACACACACATACACACACAACACACAACACACAGCACGTCCATACCATCCACCTGCAGGTACACAACACATACCACAGGTACTCACACGTACCACAGGTACACATAACACACAGCACGTCCATACCATCCACCTGCAGGTACACAACACAGGTACTCACCACAGGTACACACATACCACAGGTACACAACACACACACACACACACAGGTACACACACACTTACACACACACACATACACACACAACACACAGCACGTCCATACCATCCACCTGCAGGTACACAGGTACACAACACAGGTACTCACACACATACCACAGGTACACACAGGTACACATAACACACAGGTACACATAACACACAGGTACACACACACACATACACACACAACACACACACATAACACAGGTACACACACACATACACACACAACACACAGCACGTCCATACCATCCACCTGCAGGTACACACACACACAGGTACTCACAGGTACACACACATATATACACACACACACAACCCACACAACACACACCACACACACACAACACACAGCACGTCCATACCATCCACCTGCAGGTACACACACACACAGGTACTCACACACAGGTACACACACACATATACACACACACACATACACACACAACACACACACATAACACAGGTACACACACACATACACACACACATACACACACAACACACACACACATAACACAGGTACACACACACAGGTACACATAACACACAGGTACACACACATACACACACAACACACACAACACAGGTACACACACACAGGTACACATAACACACAGGTACACATAACACACAGGTACACATAACACACAGGTATTCACCAAAGGTACTCACTCACCACAGGTACTCACACACCACAGGTACTCACCACAGGTACTCACCAAAGGTACTCACCACAGGTACTCACTACAGGTACTCACACACCACAGGTACTCACACACCACAGGTACTCACACACCACAGGTACTCACCACAGGTACTCACACACCACAGGTACTCACCACAGGTACTCACACACCACAGGTACTCACACACCACAGGTACTCACACACCACAGGTACTCACTCACCACAGGTACTCACACACCACAGGTACTCACACACCACAGGTACTCACCACAGGTACTCACACACCACAGGTACTCACCACAGGGTGTGGTGTGTTGTAATTTTGTGATGCTCCCTCTAGTGAGGGAGCCAGGGCCTTGCTCAAACAATGAATAACGTTTGCCGAAAGTGCCTCTCGTGTCTACACTGAATGACTGACTGCCGCATGACTGAGTGACTGACTGACTGAGTGACTGAATGACTGACTGACTGCCGCATGACTGAGTGACTGACTGAGTGACTGACTGACCGCATGGCTGACTGACTGACTGAATGACTGACTGCATGAATGACTGACTGAGTGACTGCCTGACTGAGTGACTGCCTGACTGAGTGACTGACTGACCGCATGACTGACTGACTGAGTGACTGAATGACTGACTGGACTGACTGACCGCATGGCTGACTGACTGAGTCACTGAATGACTGACTGACTGACCGCATGGCTGACTGACTGAGTGACTGAATGACTGACTGACTGACCGACTGACTGAGTGACTGACCGACTGATCGCATGACTGAATGACTGACTGAGTGACTGAATGACTGAATGACTGACTGACCGCATGACTGAGTGACTGACTGAATGACTGACTGAATGACTGACTGAGTGACTGACTGACCGCATGACTGACTGACTTGACTGCCGCATGACTAGAGTGACTGACCGCATGACCAAATGACTGAATGACTGAGTGACTGACTGAATGACTAAGTGACTGACCGACTGACTGAGTGACTGATCGACTGACCGCATGACTGAATGACTGACTGACCGAATGACTGACTGACCGAATGACTGACTGACCGCATGACTGAATGACTGACTGACCGAATGACTGACTGACTGAATGACTGACTGACCGCATGACTGACTGACCGCATGGCTGAATGACCGACTGACTGACTGAATGACTGACTGACTGACTGACCACATGACTGACTGACTGACTGACTGACCGCATGACTGACTATCGCATGACTGAATGACTGACTGAGTGACTGAGTGACTGACTGAGTGACTGACTGACTGCTGCATGACTGAGTGACTGACTGAGTGACTGAGTGACTGAGTGACTGACTGAATGACTGACCGCATGACTGAATGACTGACTGACCGCATGACTGACTGACCACATGACTGACTGACTGACTGACCGCATGACTGACTGACCGCATGACCGAATGACTGACTGCTGCATGGCCGAATGACTGACTGAAAGACTGACTGAATAACCCACTGAATGACTGACTGAATGACCAAACGACTGACTGAATGACTGAATGACCCACTGAATGACCGACTGAATGACCAAACGACTGACTGAATGACTGAATAACCCACTGAATGACCGACTGAATGACCAAACGACTGACTGAATGACTGAATGACTGAATGACCGACTGAATGACCAAACGACTGACTGAATGACTGAATAACCCAGTGAATGACCGACCGAATGACCAAACGACTGACTGAATGACCGAATGACCCACTGAATGACCGACCGAATGACCAAACGACTGACTGAATGACTGAATAACCCACTGAATGACCGACTGAATGACCAAACGACTGACTGAATGACCGAATAACCCACTGAATGACCGACTGAATGACCAAACGACTGACTGAATGACCGACTGAATGACCGACTGAATGACCAAACGACTGACTGAATGACCCACTGAATGACCGACTGAATGACCAAACGACTGACTGAATGACTGAATAACCCACTGAATGACCGACTGAATGACCAAACGACTGACTGAATGACTGAATGACTGAATGACCGACTGAATGACCAAACGACTGACTGAATGACTGAATAACCCAGTGAATGACCGACCGAATGACCAAACGACTGACTGAATGACCGAATGACCCACTGAATGACCGACCGAATGACCAAACGACTGACTGAATGACTGAATAACCCACTGAATGACCGACTGAATGACCAAACGACTGACTGAATGACCGACTGAATGACCGACTGAATGACCAAACGACTGACTGAATAACCCACTGAATGACCGACTGAATGACCAAACGACTGACTGAATGACTGAATGACCGACTGAATGACCGACTGAATGACCAAACGACTGACTGAATGACCGAATAACCCACTGAATGACCGACTGAATGACCAAACGACTGACTGAATGACTGAATGACCGACTGAATGACCAAACGACTGACTGAATGACCGAATGACCCACTGAATGACCGACCGAATGACCAAACGACTGACTGAATGACCGACTGAATGACCGACTGAATGACCAAACGACTGACTGAATAACCCACTGAATGATCGACCGAATGACCAAACGACTGACTGAATGACTGAATGACCGACTGAATGACCAAATGACTGACTGAATGACCGACTGAATGACCGACCGAATGACCAAACGACTGACTGAATGACCCACTGAATGATCGACTGAATGACCAAACGACTGACTGAATGACTGACTGAATGACCGAATAACCCACTGAATGATCGACCGAATGACCAAACGACTGACTGAATGACTGAATGACCGACTGAATGACCAAATGACTGACTGAATGACCGACTGAATGACCGACCGAATGACCAAACGACTGACTGAATGACCCACTGAATGATCGACTGAATGACCAAACGACTGACTGAATGACTGACTGAATGACCGAATAACCCACTGAATGACCGACCGAATGACCAAACGACTGACCGACCGACCGAATGACCGACCCACCGACCCACCGACCCACCGACCCAATGACCCAATGACCCAATGACCCACTGACCGCCCCCTGCCCTGACCCCACGTACCCGTAGACCCGGAAGGTAGTCGCCACGACGGAAGTATTCGGTTGAGGCAGAGGCTCGTTCAACAGCGGTACCCATCCCGTAGCGATTGTTCTCACACACAAACACGATGGGAAGCTTCCACAAGGCAGCCATGTTGTAGGCCTCAAACACCTGGCCCTGGGGGAAACAACGGGGGGGCGAGGGGAGACGCTGAGGACGATGGTGGTGGTGGTGGTGATGGTGATGGTGGTGGTGAAGGTGGTGGTGGTGGTGATGGTGGTGGGGGTGGTGGTGGTGGTGGTGATGGTGGTGGTGATGGTGGTGATGGTGGTGGTGGTGGTGATGGTGGTGATGGTGGTGGTGGTGGTGATGGTGGTGGTGGTGGTGATGGTGGTGGTGATGGTGGTGATGGGTGGTGGTGGTGGTGGTGATGGTGGTGGTGGTGGGTGGTGGTGGTGATGGTGGTGGGGGTGATGGTGGTGGTGGTGGTGGGGGTGGTGGTGGTGGTGGTGGTGGTGATGGTGATGGTGGTGGTGGTGATGGTGGTGGTGGTGATGGTGGTGGTGGGGGTGGTGGTGGTGGTGGTGGTGATGGTGGTGGTGGTGGTGGGGGTGGTGATGGTGATGGTGGTGATGGTGGTGGTGATGGTGGTGGGGGGTGATGGTGGTGGTGGTGATGGTGGTGGTGGTGGTGATGGTGGTGGTGGTGATGGTGGTGGTGGAGGGGGTGGTGGTGGTGGTGATGGTGGTGGTGGTGGTGATGGTGGTGATGGTGGTGGTGGTGGGTGGTGGTGGTGGTGGTGATGGTGGTGGTGGTGGGTGGTGGTGGTGGTGGTGATGGTGGTGGTGGTGGGGGTGGGGGTGGTGGTGATGGTGGTGATGGTGGTGTTGGTGATGGTGGTGGTGGTGGTGATGATGGTGGTGGGGGTGGTGATGGTGGTGGTGATGGTGGTGATGGTGGTGGTGATGGTGGTGGTGGTGATGGTGGTGGTGATGGTGGTGATGGTGGTGGTGATGGTGGTGGTGGTGATGGTGGTGGTGGTGGTGGTGATGGTGGTGGTGGTGGTGGTGATGGTGGTGGTGGTGGTGATGATGGTGGTGGTGGTGATGGTGGTGATGATGGTGATGATGATGGTGATGATGGTGATGTTGATGATGGTGATGATGGTGATGTTGATGATGGTGATGGTGGTGATGGTGATGTTGATGATGGTGATGATGGTGGTGATGATGGTGATGATGATGATGGTGATAATGATGATGGTGGTGATGCTGATGACGATGATGATGATCATGATGATGATGCTGATGATGGTGATGATGCTGATGATGCTGATGATGGTGATGATGCTGATGATGATGTTGACGATGATGGGGACGATGATGATGATGATGTTGATGATGGTGATGATGATGTTGGTGATGATGATGTTGATGATGATGGTGGTGGTGATGATGTTGATGATGATGGTGATGATGATGATGCTGATGATGATGCTGTTCATGATGATGATGATGCTGTTGATGATGCTGTTGATGGCGATGCTGATGATGATGATGCTGTTGATGATGATGATGCTGTTGATGACGATGCTGTTGATGATGATGTTGATGATGCTGTTGATGGTGATGCTGTTGATGGTGATGCTGTTGATGATGATGCTGATGCTGCTGATGATGATGCTGTTGATGCTGCTGTTGATGATGATGCTGTTGATGATGCTGTTGATGGTGATGATGCTGTTGATGATGATGCTGTTGATGATGCTGTTGATGGTGATGCTGATGATGATGCTGATGATGGTGATGCTGATGATGATGACGATGCTGTTGATGGTGATGCTGATGTTCATGATGACGATGCTGATGATGATGACGATGCTGTTCATGATGATGATGCTGTTGATGGTGATGCTGTTGATGATGCTGTTGGTGATGATGCTGTTGATGATGATGCTGTTGATGATGATGATGCTGCTGATGATGATGCTGATGATGATGCTGATGATGGTGATGCTGCTGCTCATGATGATGCTGCTGATGATGATGTTGATGCTGCTGATGTGATGTTGTTGATGCTGCTGATGATGCTGTTGATGATGATGCTGATGATGATGCTGCTGCTGATGATGATGCTGATGATGATGCTGCTGCTGATGATGATGCTGCTGCTGGTACTGACCTGGTTGGCTGCTCCGTCCCCGTAGAGAGAGACACAGACCTCGTTACGTCCCAGGTACTGGCAGGCGAGGGCGATACCAGCTCCCAGAGGTACCTAGCACACACACACAGATACTCACATACTCACATACTCACTCACATACTCACTCACTCAATCACTCACATACGCACTCACATACTCACTCACTCACTCACATAATCACTGACTCACATACTCACTCACCTACTCACTCACTCACCTACTCACTCACCTACTCACTCACATACTCACTCACTCACATACTCACTCACTCACACACTCACTCACATACCCACTCACTCACATACTCACCTACTCACTCACATACTCACCTACTCACTCACATACTCACCTACTCACTCACATACTCACCTACTCACTCACATTCTCACTCACATACTCACTCACATACTCACTCACTCACATACTCACTCAGATACTCAGTCACCTACTCACCCACTCACTCACTCACCTACTCACTCACACACTCACTCACATACTCACCTACTCCCTCACCTACTCACTCACTCACCTATTCACTCACCCACTCACCTACTCACTCACATACTCACCTACTCACTCACCCACTCACATACTCACTCACATACTCACTCACTCACATACTCACTCACATACTCACTCACATACTCACTAACATACTCACTAACATACTCACTCACTCACTCACATACTCACTCACTCACATACTCACTCACCCACCCACTCACCCACCCACCTACCCACCCACCCACTCACTCACCCACCCACCCACCCACTCACCCACCCACTCACTCACTCACCCAACCACCCACTCACTCACCCCCCCACCCACTCACCCACCCACTCACCCCCCCACCCACCTAGTCACTCACCCACCCACTCACTCACTCACCCACCCACCCACTCACTCACCCACCCACCCACTCACTCACCCACCCACCCACCCACTCACCCACCCCCCCACCCACCCACTCACTCACCCACCCACCCACCCACTCACTCACCCACCCACCCACCCACTCACCCATCCCCCCACCCACCCACCCACTCACGCACCCACCCACCCACCTACCCACCCACTCACTCACTCACCCACTCACCCACCCACTCACTCACTCACTCACCCACCCACCCACCCACCTACCCACCCATTCACTCACTCACCCACTCACCCACTCACCCACTCCCCCACCCACTCACTCACCCACCCACTCACTCACCCACCCACCCACTCACACACCCACCCACCCACCCCCCCACTCACCCACTCACCCACCCACTCACGCACCCACCCACCCACCTACCCACTCACTCACTCACCCACTCACCCACCCACTCACTCACTCACTCACCCACCCACCCACCCACCTACCCACCCACTCACTCACTCCCCCACCCACCCACTCACTCACCCACCCACTCACTCACCCACCCACTCACCCACCCACCCACCCACCCCCCCACCCACCCACTCACCCACCCACCCACTCACTCACCCACCCACTCACTCACCCACCCACTCACTCACCCACCACCCACCCACCCACTCACCCACCCACCCACTCACCCACCCACTCACTCACCCACCCACCCACTCACTCACCCACCCACCCACTCACTCACTCACCCACCCACACACCCACCCACCCACACACTCACTCACTCACCCACCCACACACCCACCCACCCACCCACTCACTCACTCACCCACCCACCCACCCACTCACTCACCCACCCACCCACTCACCCACCCACCCACTCACTCACCCACCCACCCACTCACCCACCCACCCACCCACTCACTCACCCACCCACTCACTCACTCACCCACCCACTCACCCCCCCACCCACCCACCCACCCCCCCACCCACCCACCCCCCCACCCACCCCCCCACCCACCCACCCACTCACCCACCCACCCCCCCACTCACCCACTCACCCACCCACTCACGCACCCACTCACCCACTCACCCACTCACTCACTCACCCACTCACCCACCCACTCACTCACTCACTCACCCACCCACCCACCCACCTACCCACCCACTCACTCACTCACCCACTCCCCCACCCACCCACTCACTCACCCACCCACTCACTCACCCACCCACTCACCCACCCACCCACCCACCCCCCCACCCACCCACTCACCCACCCACCCACCCACTCACCCACCCACCCACCCACCCCCCCACCCACCCACTCACCCACCCACCCACTCACTCACCCACCCACTCACTCACCCACCCACTCACTCACCCACTCACCCACCCACCCACTCACCCACCCACCCACTCACCCACCCACTCACTCACCCACCCACCCACTCACTCACTCACCCACCCACACACCCACCCACCCACACACTCACTCACCCACCCACACACCCACCCACCCACTCACTCACCCACCCACACACCCACCCACCCACTCACTCACTCACCCACCCACACACCCACCCACCCACACACTCACTCACCCACCCACACACCCACCCACCCACTCACTCACCCACCCACACACCCACCCACCCACTCACTCACTCACCCACCCACTCACCCACTCACTCACCCACCCACCCACTCACCCACCCACCCACCCACTCACTCACCCACCCACCCACCCACTCACCCACCCACCCACCCACTCACCCACCCACCCACCCACTCACTCACCCACCCACTCACTCACTCACTCACCCACCCACTCACCCACTCACTCACCCACTCACCCCCCCACCCACCCACCCACCCCCCCACCCACCCACCCCCCCACCCACCCACCCCCCCACCCACCCCCCCACCCACCCACCCACTCACCCACCCACCCATCCACTCACCCACCCACCCACCCACTCACTCACTCACTCACCCACCCACCCACTCACTCACCCACCCACCCACTCACCCACTCACCCACCCACCCACCCACTCACTCACCCACCCACACACTCACTCACCCACCCACACACCCACCCACCCACCCACTCACTCACTCACCCACCCACCCACCCACTCACTCACCCACCCACCCACTCACCCACCCACCCACCCACCCACTCACTCACCCACCCACCCACCCACTCACCCACTCACCCACCCACCCACCCACCCACTCACTCACCCACCCACTCACTCACCCACCCACTCACTCACTCACCCACCCACTCACCCACTCACTCACCCACTCACCCCCCCCACCCACCCACCCACCCCCCCACCCACCCACCCCCCCCACCCACCCCCCCACCCACCCACCCACTCACCCACCCACCCACCCACTCACCCACCCACCCACCCACTCACTCACTCACCCACCCACCCACTCACTCACCCACTCACTCACTCACCCACCCACCCACCCACCCACCCACTCACTCACCCACTCACCCCCCCACCCACCCACCCACACACCCACCCACCCACCCACCCACCCACCCCCCCACCCACCCCCCCACCCACCCACCCACTCACCCACCCACCCATCCACTCACCCACCCACCCACCCACTCACTCACTCACCCACCCACCCACTCACTCACCCACTCACTCACTCACTCACCCACCCACCCACCCACCCACCCCCCCACCCACCCCCCCACCCACCCACACCCCCACCCACCCACCCACCCACTAACCCACCCCACCCCCCCACCCACCCACCCACCTGTGCTCCCACAATGCCGTTGCCACCATAGAAGTGAGTTCCGTACATGTGCATGGAGCCTCCCTTACCCTGAGCACAGCCACCCTGACGACCTGCCAGGGAGGGGACACGGTGAGACAGAGACACGGGGAGAGAGACACGGGGAGACAGAGACACGGGGAGAGAGAGACACGGGGAGAGAGACACGGGGAGAGAGACACGGGGAGACAGAGAGACACGGGGAGACAGAGACACGGGGAGAGACACGGGGAGAGACACGGGGAGAGACACGGGGAGAGACACGGGGAGACAGAGAGACACGGGGAGACACGGGGAGAGAGACACGGGGAGAGAGACACGGGGAGACAGAGACACGGGGAGAGAGACACGGGGAGACACGGGGAGACACGGGGAGACAGAGACACGGGGAGAGACACGGGGAGAAAGACACGGGGAGAGAGACACGGTGAGAGAGAGAGACACGGGGTGAGAGAGACACGGAGAGAGACACGGGGAGAGACATGGGGAGAGACACGGGGAGAGAGACACGGGGAGACAGAGAGACACGGGGAGACAGAGACACGGGGAGAGAGACACGGGGAGAGAGAGACGGGGAGAGAGAGACACGGGGAGAGAGAGAGACACGGGGAGAGAGAGAGACACGGGGAGACACAGGGAGAGACACGTGGAGACAGAGAGACACGGGGAGAGACATGGGGAGAGAGACACGGGGAGACAGAGAGACACGGGGAGAGAGAGAGACACGGGGAGAGACACGGGGAGACAGAGACACGGGGAGAGATAGACACGGGGAGACAGAGAGACACGGGGAGAGAGAGACACGGGGAGAGACACGGGGAGAGACACGGGGAGAGACACGGGGAGAGACACGGGGAGACAGAGAGACACGGGGAGAGAGAGAGACACGGGGAGAGACACGGGGAGACACAGGGAGAGACACGGAGAGACAGAGAGACACGGGGAGAGACACGGGGAGAGACACGGGGAGAGAGACACGGGGTGAGAGAGAGACACGGGGAGAGAGACACGGTGAGAGAGAGACACGGGGAGAGAGACACGGAGAGACAGAGAGACACGGGGAGAGAGAGAGACACGGGGAGAGAGAGAGACACGGGGTGAGAGACACGTTGAGACAGAGAGACACGGGGAGAGAGAGAGACACGGGGAGAGAGAGAGACACGGGGTGAGAGACACGGTGAGAGACACGGGGAGACAGAGAGACACGGGGAGAGAGAGAGACACGGGGAGAGAGACACGGGGAGAGAGACACGGAGAGAGAGAGACACGGGGAGAGAGAGACGCGGGGAGACAGAGAGACACGGGGAGAGACATGGGGAGAGACACGGGGAGATGGTGAGAGAGACACGGGGAGAGAGACACGGGGAGAGAGACACGGGGAGAGAGAGAGACACGGGGAGAGAGACGGAGAGAGAGACGGAGAGAGAGACACGGGGAGACAGAGAGACACGGAGAGAGACACGGGGAGAGAGAGAGAGACACGGGGAGACAGAGAGACACGGGGAGACAGAGAGAGACAGGGGGAGACAGAGAGACACGGGGAGACAGAGACACGGAGAGACACGGGGAGAGACACGGGGAGATGGTGAGAGAGACACGGGGAGAGAGACACGGAGAGAGACACGGGGAGACAGAGAGAGAGACACGGGGAGACAGACACGGGGGGAGAGACACGGGGAGACAGAGAGACACGGGGAGAGAGACACGGGGAGACAGAAAGACACGGGGAGAGAGACACGGGGAGACATAGAGACACGGGGAGAGAGAGAGTCTCTGTGTGTCTGTGTGTGTGTCTGTGTGTGTGTGTGTCTGTGTGTGTGTGTGTGTCTGTGTGTGTGTGTCTGTGTGTGTGTCTGTGTGTGTGTGTGTCTGTGTGTGTGTGTGTGTGTCTGTGTGTGTGTGTGTGTCTGTGTGTGTGTGTCTGTGTGTGTCTGTGTGTGTGTGTCTGTGTGTGTGTGTGTCTGTGTGTGTGTGTGTGTCTGTGTGTGTGTGTCTGTGTGTGTGTGTCTGTGTGTGTGTGTCTGTGTGTGTGTGTCTGTGTGTGTGTCTGTGTGTCTGTGTCTGTGTGTGTGTCTGTGTGTGTGTCTGTGTGTGTGTGTGTCTCTGTGTGTGTGTGTCACTGTGTGTGTGTGTCTGTGTGTCACTGTGTGTCTGTGTCTGTGTGTCACTGTGTGTGTGTGTCTGTGTCTGTGTGTCTGTGTCTGTGTGTGTGTCACTGTGTCACTGTGTCTGTGTGTGTGTGTCACTGTGTGTCTGTGTGTGTGTGTGTCTGTGTGTCACTGTGTGTGTGTGTCACTGTCACTGTGTGTGTGTGTCTGTGTGTGTGTGTGTCTGTGTGTGTGTCACTGTGTGTGTGTGTCTGTGTGTGTGTGTCTGTGTGTGTGTGTCTGTGTGTGTGTCACTGTGTGTGTGTGTCTGTGTGTGTGTCTGTGTGTGTCTGTGTGTGTGTCACTGTGTGTCTGTGTGTGTCTGTGTCTGTGTGTGTGTGTGTCTGTGTGTGTCTGTGTGTCTGTGTGTGTGTGTGTCTGTGTGTGTGTGTGTGTGTCTGTGTGTGTGTCTGTGTGTGTGCCACTGTCACTGTGTGTGTGTCACTGTGTCTGTGTCTGTGTGTCACTGTGTGTGTCACTGTGTGTGTGTCACTGTGTCACTGTGTGTGTGTCTGTGTGTGTGTCACTGTCACTGTGTGTGTCACTGTCACTGTGTGTGTGTGTCACTGTGTGTGTGTCACTGTGTGTGTGTGTGTCACTTTGTGTGTCACTGTGTGTGTGTGTCACTGTGTGTGTCACTGTGTGTGTCACTGTGTGTGTCACTGTGTGTCACTGTGTGTGTCACTGTGTGTGTCACTGTGTGTGTCACTGTGTGTGTCACTGTGTGTGTGTGTGTGTGTCACTGTGTGTGTCACTGTGTGTGTGTCACTGTGTGTGTGTGTCACTGTGTGTGTGTCACTGTCACTGTGTGTGTGTGTCACTGTGTGTGTGTGTCACTGTGTGTGTGTCACTGTCACTGTGTGTGTGTGTCACTGTGTGTGTGTGTGTCACTGTGTGTGTATATCACTGTGTGTGTCACTGTGTGTGTGTGTGTGTGTCACTGTGTGTGTCTCACTGTGTGTGTGTCACTGTCACTGTGTGTCACTGTGTGTGTGTCTGTGTGTGTCACTGTGTGTGTGTGTGTGTCACTGTGTGAGTGTGTCACTGTGTGTGTCACTGTGTGTGTATATCACTGTGTGTGTCACTGTGTGTGTCACTGTGTGTGTGTCACTGTGTGTGTGTCACTGTGTGTGTCTCACTGTGTGTGTCACTGACCAGTGAGTTCCGCCAGGATGGCACGTGGTTTAACACCGCGTGTGTAAGCGTAGGCATGAGCCCGGTATGCGGTGATCACGTGGTCAGCCAGAGTGATGGCGTTCTCTATCCCTATAGCACACGCTTCCTGCAGAGAGAGACACACACAGGGAGAGAGAGACACGGGGAGAGAGAGACACGGGGAGAGAGAGACACGGGGAGAGAGAGACACGGGGAGAGAGAGACACGGGGAGAGAGAGACACGGGGGAGAGAGAGAGACACGGGGTGAGAGAGACACGGGGAGAGAGAGACACGGGGAGAGACACGGGGAGAGAGAGACACGGGGAGAGTGATCACGTGGTCAGCCAGAGTGATGGCGTTCTCTATCCCTATAGCACACGCTTCCTGCAGAGAGAGACACACACAGGGAGACAGAGACACGGGGGAGAGAGAGAGACACGGGGAGAGAGAGACACGGGGAGAGAGAGACACGGGGAGAGAGAGACACGGGGAGAGAGAGACACGGGGAGAGAGACACGGGGAGAGAGAGACACGGGGAGAGTGATCACGTGGTCAGCCAGAGTGATGGCGTTCTCTATCCCTATAGCACACGCTTCCTGCAGAGAGAGACACACACAGGGAGAGAGACAGGGACACGGGGAGAGAGACACGGGGAGAGACACGGGGAGAGAGACACGGGGTGAGAGAGACACGGGGAGGGAGAGACACGGGGTGAGAGAGACACGGGGAGAGAGACACGGGGAGAGTGATCACGTGGTCAGCCAGAGTGATGGCGTTCTCTATCCCTATAGCACACGCTTCCTGCAGAGAGAGACACGGGGAGAGAGAGACACGGGGAGAGAGAGACACGGGGGAGAGAGAGAGACACGGGGTGAGAGAGACACGGGGGAGAGAGAGAGACACGGGGAGAGAGAGACACGGGGAGAGAGAGACACGGGGAGAGAGAGACACGGGGAGAGAGAGACACGGGGAGAGAGAGACACGGGGAGAGTGATCACGTGGTCAGCCAGAGTGATGGCGTTCTCTATCCCTATAGCACACGCTTCCTGCAGAGAGAGACACACACAGGGAGACAGAGACACGGGGGAGAGAGACACGGGGAGAGAGAGACACGGGGAGAGTGATCACGTGGTCAGCCAGAGTGATGGCGTTCTCTATCCCTATAGCACACGCTTCCTGCAGAGAGAGAGAGACACAGGGAGAGAGACACGGGGAGAGAGACAGGGAGAGGTGAGACACGGGGAGAGAGACACGGGGTGAGAGAGACACGGGGAGAGAGAGAGACACGGGGAGAGAGAGACACGGGGAGAGAGAGACACGGGGAGAGTGATCACGTGGTCAGCCAGAGTGATGGCGTTCTCTATCCCTATAGCACACGCTTCCTGCAGAGAGAGAGAGACACAGGGAGAGAGACACGGGGAGAGAGACAGGGAGAGGTGAGACACGGGGAGAGAGACACGGGGTGAGAGAGACACGGGGAGAGAGAGAGACACGGGGAGAGAGAGACACGGGGAGAGAGAGACACGGGGAGAGTGATCACGTGGTCAGCCAGAGTGATGGCGTTCTCTATCCCTATAGCACACGCTTCCTGCAGAGAGAGACACACACAGGGAGAGAGAGACAGAGACACGGGGAGAGAGACACGGGGAGAGACAAGGGGAGAGAGAGAGACACGGGGAGAGAGAGACACGGGGAGAGAGAGACACGGGGGAGAGAGAGAGACACGGGGAGACAGAGACACGGGGAGAGAGACACGGGGAGAGAGAGAGACGGGGAGAGTGATCACGTGGTCAGCCAGAGTGATGGCGTTCTCTATCCCTATAGCACACGCTTCCTGCAGAGAGAGACACACACAGGGAGAGAGAGACAGAGACACGGGGAGAGAGACACGGGGAGAGACAAGGGGAGAGAGAGAGACACGGGGAGAGAGAGACACGGGGAGAGAGAGACACGGGGGAGAGAGAGAGACACGGGGAGAGAGAGACACGGTGGGAGAGAGAGACACGGGGGAGAGAGAGACACGGGGAGAGTGATCACGTGGTCAGCCAGAGTGATGGCGTTCTCTATCCCTATAGCACACGCTTCCTGCAGAGAGAGACACACACAGGGAGACAGAGACACGGGGGAGAGAGAGAGACACGGGGAGAGAGAGACACGGGGAGAGAGAGACACGGGGAGAGAGAGACACGGGGAGAGAGACACGGGGAGAGAGGGGGAGAGAGAGACACGGGGAGAGAGAGACACGGGGTGAGAGAGACACGGGGAGAGTGATCACGTGGTCAGCCAGAGTGATGGCGTTCTCTATCCCTATAGCACACGCTTCCTGCAGAGAGAGACACGGGGAGAGAGACACGGGGGAGAGAGAGAGACACGGGGAGAGAGAGACACGGGGTGAGAGAGACACGGGGAGAGAGACACGGGGAGAGAGACACGGGGAGAGTGATCACGTGGTCAGCCAGAGTGATGGCGTTCTCTATCCCTATAGCACACGCTTCCTGCAGAGAGAGAGACACACGGGGAGACAGAGACACGGGGGAGAGAGAGAGACACGGGGAGAGAGAGACACGGGGTGAGAGAGACACGGGGAGAGAGAGAGACACGGGGAGAGAGAGACACGGGGAGAGAGAGACACGGGGAGAGTGATCACGTGGTCAGCCAGAGTGATGGCGTTCTCTATCCCTATAGCACACGCTTCCTGCAGAGAGAGACACGGGGAGAGAGACAGAGACACGGGGAGAGAGAGACACGGGGAGAGAGAGACACGGGGAGAGAGAGACACGGGGAGAGAGAGACACGGGGAGAGAGACACGGGGAGAGAGAGACACGGGGAGAGAGAGACACGGGGAGAGAGAGACACGGGGAGAGAGAGACACGGGGAGAGAGAGACACGGGGTGAGAGAGACACGGAGAGAGAGAGACACGGGGAGAGTGATCACGTGGTCTGCCAGAGTGATGGCGTTCTCTATCCCTATAGCACACGCTTCCTGCAGAGAGAGACACGGGGAGAGAGAGAGACACGGGGAGAGAGAGACACGGGGAGAGAGAGACACGGGGTGAGAGACACGGGGTGAGAGAGACACGGGGAGAGACACGGTGAGAGAGACACGGGGTGAGAGAGACACGGGGAGAGAGAGAGACAGAGAGAGAGAGACACGGGGTGAGAGAGACACGGGGACACACGGGGAGAGAGACACGGGGAGAGACAAGGGGAGAGAGAGACACGGGGAGAGACACGGTGAGAGAGAGACACGGGGAGAGAACACGGGGAGAGAGAGACACGGGGGAGAGAGACACGGGGAGAGAGACACGGGGAGAGAGAGACACGGGGTGAGAGAGACACGGGGAGAGAGAGACACGGGGAGAGAGAGACACGGGGAGAGAGAGACACGGGGAGAGTGATCACGTGGTCAGCCAGAGTGATGGCGTTCTCTATCCCTATAGCACACGCTTCCTGCAGAGAGAGACACACACAGGGAGAGAGACACGGGGAGAGAGACAGAGACACGGGGAGAGAGACACGGGGAGAGAGACACGGGGAGACACGGTGAGAGAGACACGGGGAGACACGGGGAGAGAGACACGGGGAGAGAGAGACACGGGGAGAGAGGGACACGGGGAGAGAGAGACACGGGGAGAGAGACACGGGGAGAGAGACACGGGGAGAGAGACACGGGGGGGGTGAGACACGGGGAGAGAGACACGGGGAGAGGGACACGGGGAGAGAGAGACACGGGAAGAGACAAGGGGAGAGACACGGGGGGGTGAGACACGGGGAGAGAGAGACACACGGGAAGAGAGAGACACGGGGAGACACGGTGAGAGAGACACGGTGAGACACGGGGAGAGAGACACGGGGAGACACGGGGAGAGAGACACGGGGAGACACGGGGAGAGAGACACGGGGAGACACGGGGAGAGAGACACGGGAGGAGACACGGTGAGAGAGACACGGGGGGGTGAGACACGGGGAGAGAGACACGGTGAGAGAGACACGAGGAGAGAGACACTGGGAGACACGGGGAGAGAGACACGGGGAGAGAGACATGGTGAGAGAGACACGGAGAGACACGGTGAGAGGGACACGGGGAGAGAGACACGGGGTGTGAGACACGGGGAGAGAGAGACACGGGGAGAGACAAGGGGAGAGAGAGACACGGGGAGAGAGACACGGTGAGAGAGACACGGTGAGAGAGACACGGGGAGAGAGACACGGGGAGAGAGACACGGGGAGAGAGACACGGGGAGAGAGAGACACGGGGAGAGAGAGACACGGGGAGAGACAAGGGGAGAGAGAGACACGGGGAGAGAGACACGGGGAGAGAGACACGGGGAGAGAGACACGGGGAGACACGGGGAGAGAGACACGGGGAGACACGGTGAGAGAGACACGGGGGGAGACACGGTGAGAGAGAGACACACGGGGAGAGAGAGAGACGGGGAGACACGGGGAGAGAGACACGGGGAGAGAGACACGGGGGGGTGAGACACGGGGAGACACGGTGAGAGAGACACGGGGGGGTGAGACACGGTGAGAGAGACACGGGGAGAGAGACACGGGGAGACACGGGGAGAGAGAGACACGGGGTGAGAGAGACACGGGGAGACACGGTGAGAGAGACGGTGAGACAGATACAGTGAGAGAGACACGGGGAGAGAGACACGGTGAGAGAGACACGGGGAGAGAGACACGGGGAGAGAGACACGGGGAGAGAGACATGGGGAGAGAGACACGGGGAGAGAGACACGGGGAGAGAGAGACACGGGGAGAGAGAGACACGGGGAGAGAGAGACACGGGGAGAGAGAGACACGGGGAGAGAGAGACACGGGGAGAGAGAGACACGGGGAGAGAGAGACACGGGGAGAGAGAGACACGGGGAGAGTGACACGGGGAAAGAGAGAGACACGGGGAGAGAGAGACACGGGGAGAGAGAGACACGGGGAGAGAGACACGGGGGGAGAGACACGGGGAGAGAGACACGGGGAGAGAGACACGGGGAGAGAGACACGGGGGGGTGAGACACGGGGAGAGAGAGACACACGGGGAGAGAGAGACACGGGGAGACACGGGGAGAGAGAGACACGGGGGGGTGAGACACGGGGAGAGAGAGACACGGGGAGACACGGT